TTTTGTATTTTGAGGGTAAAAAAAAAAAAAAAAACAGCTAGACGGCGTACCTGAAAGCCCATAGATCCCAAGCAATCTGCTTGGCAATCTCCCGCTTCTGAATCTTGATGGCCACCTCGCGCCCATCCGGCAGTCTCGCCCAGTGGACCTGGGCAACACTGGCACTCGCCCTCGCCTTGCGCTCCATGACGCCCATGCCCTCTTTGCCCGTGAAGCTGACGCCAAACACATCCTCGACGCTCTTCCCAAAGTCCCTCCGGATCACGGCCTCGACGTCCCTCCAGTCATCCTGCGGCGCGTCGTCAAACATGCGCCCAAACATCTTCTGGAACTCGGGCGGCAGGACGGCGCTCTGCATGGCAATCGCCTGGCCGATCTTGAGGTACAGCCCGCCGTTGGCGCGGAGCAAGTCAAACAGCCGCTCCGCATTGCGAGCGTGCAGCTCCGGCACAGAACCGGCCGTCAGCGGCTCCGGCCTGAAGTTGACCTTGTAGTCGAGGGCAACGAGGAGCGTCGTCGTAAACGTGCGCAGCGTCCTGGCGAACCCCGAGGCGTAAATCTGGCGGTCTGCCACGTATATCGTGCCGCCTGCGGCCAGGCCCACGACCAGCCAGCGCGTCCATCTCCTCCCCTTCTTGTACTGCTTGGCTGCCCTCGGGGCGCCCAGCTCTTCCGGCGATGGCGGCCGGAGGGGCGAGAAGCCCCCCGGGCCCTGGATGCTTCGGCGGGAGGCGGCGGCGACGTCGCTGCGGACAAGGCCAAGGCCGACGCGAGGCACACGACACGATGCCCTCGAGAGGGTGAGGGTGCTGTGGCGGAACATGCTGGGTGGTGCTGCCGGCCCAGCTGTTGAAAGTCGCCTGCTTGATGTTGTTATGCGCACGCCGACATTAAGAATGATGGCCAGCACATGTGTGGAAGTCGGGAGAGGACTTTGGTGGTTGAGAGGTTGAGATGGGAAGCTCTCAGTTTTTTTTTTTGCGGGCCGAGTGAAATCGCCGAGAAGCATTATATCCGGCTCCGGTCGGGGATTTCGCATCGCCCTCGGGAGGTCCCATGTTCCGGACTATGTATGTCAATCGGTGACGACTATACAGCCCTTTTTAGCTAGTTTTTAGTTATCATCAAGCTAGTATTGAAAGCTTATCCCTTTACGGAAAACTTGTGGTGGCTGAAGTCATCAGTCAAATTCCAGTGCACTAGTGTCGACGCATTAAGAATGACGCACATCAACGCCGATATCATTGCCAGCAACGTCATCGATGCGCACTGATACGTAGACACATTGGAATAAATACCCCATGTTTGGGCAAACAGCAAGATAATAAACCGTCATATCGACAGCAACAGTTCCGCGTACACGGAATGATGGAGCTGTATGTACCAAATGTCAAATTGGCTATAGGGTAGCCAGTTGGAAACCTTGAAACCAGAGCCTTGTCTCTCGATGTCTGGCTAGTAGTCAATGTCAACTGGTGCTTGTAACCTGCTTGGCCTCGAGATGGGGCATGTGCCGACTAATCAGTGTTGCCGTTGGACTGATTGGATGATGTGCTCCAAGCAGGCAGTCCCACATGCGGACAATATGCGACAAGTTGTCGTAGTATCTAATACACTCGTCTATATAGTTACATGTTGACCTACAGGATAGTCAAAGACATTTGCCCATCCCGACAATCTTGGCATCCTCTCCAATGAAACTAGCAAGCAATGGGAAAATAACCCCGCTGACAACCGGAGTATTCACAGCCATCCATCTCACCTGCTCCAAACCTCGCATATCAAACGTGGCCTCGATGAAACTCCACAGCAGCCAGGAACCGTATCTGAATCTTGCCTTGAACAGCCAGACAATCTTACCGAACGCCACCGTAATGGTTCCCGACTTCACATGATCCACAGGAGCGTTCAATTGGATTCTTCCTGCACACGTAAAGGTTGACTCCTCATGATTGGAATGGCATAGACAATGGTCAGGCTGCCGGGGGTGTCGAGTGGTTGCGCGACTTGTCGGAGGAGGAAGAAAGGCGTGCGTGTCATTGTTCGAAACTTTGCACAGGATCTGAAAACATAGAAACTGACCCAAAATCAGTGTGATAGAACCGGCCCCAATGCCGCCGATGCATCAAAGCTGGGCTGCCTTGTGGAGGCTATCGTGAGGACATCGTTTGGGCCCAGACCGCCGCTCCTGGAGACGCATTTCTTGCGCGAGACCCAACGCTCCCGGATTGCCCGATGAGATCCGCGAGGCAGTAGTTGTACTATGGTGCATTCAGCGACGGAACGCTGCCCGGCGGTCGGCAGTACTCGTCAGACGCAATCAAGTTTGCCTCGGTGGGCTGGCTTAACCTCATCGACCGTCTTCGCTAGTCTGAGGCTGCTCTTCAGCATGTGTCTATTTCCATAGGCACCTTGCTACTGGTTCTGGATGCCCAAGACGGCCAGTTACGCGTGAAGAGCATTCAGACTTATAACAGGGCTATTTGCGAGGTGGCCAAGGCTTTGAAGGGAGCGGACTGATACCAACGTGATGGGTTGATGGCAACCGCTCGGCTGTTGTCATTCTACGAGGTGGGCTCGACTGGCCAACAGCCTGGGGTCAACGTGCTTTGCTCTGGAAGGCAGGCTAACGACGCTCATCATAGGTCATGGTCCCGGCCGTCGACAAGTCTCAAATGCTTGCCTGGAGAGGACACAACGAAGGAACCGGGGCCATGTTTCTGGCCAGAGGCCCCCATGCGTTCAGGTCCGGTGCGGCGCATCAGCTCTTCATCGACGCTCAGATTATTCTGGTATGACCTGACACCTTGACCTTGGCCACGAGTAAACTGATGAGCCTCTCTGCACGCTATTGTCCAGATTGGGAAAAGACAGCGGTCTCCCTTTGGCACGCACGAATGGAAGACGGTGCCATGGTACATCCACCCAAATCAGTCAAAGACGAACTGATCGATCTTGTACAAGAGTTACCAGCCATCCTGGAGCAAGTCGTGGCATTCCGAGCCCTCGAACGAGTAGGAGCCACGAAGCACCTCGAGGCGCGAATCATTGCCCAGTGCAACCAACTCCATCGAGATTCTCAGACTTGGACGCAAAGGGTACCAGATGTCTTGACATTTGACTACACGCCAGCAAAGCCGCCTTTACTGGCCCCCAGGGATGATGCGGGCATTTCGCTTCTTCACCTGGGCGAGATATATTGGATCGCGCTGATGATATTGTACTCGGTTCTGAACTTTTTTACTCAGAACGAGCACAAGCCAAGAGGCACAGAACAATCTGTCGCGCAACACAACAAAGATGATCGAGGTGGTACTCTTACACGCGTACCTCTATCCACTTCTCCAGACCTCCATGCCTCCAAGTGCGTACACGCGATACACCTTTACTGGGGGGGAGAGCGGCGTCATCGAGCGCATTGCGGGTCTGCTGGCCTTGAGTTTCGCCATGCGGTACTATCCAAATGAGAAGTCGACGGAGCACAATGGTGACGAGATGGACGTGTTGCAGCGGATTTTGGATATCAAGTTGTTTGGTTCAGAGGTTCGCTCACTGGTAATAAAAGTCAGTGGAGGAAGCGTCGTGGTCGACGCTATTGATAGGGGCATCAGGCTTCCGGGAGACGAGATGTCGTGGTTTTGAATATCTGTTTGCCTGGGGGTACAATTGCTGGGTTGGACGTCTTTCTTGTGTCTGATCTCCTGCCTCACATTTAAGCCATTGCAACAGATCACGAAGATCATGATGTGGCCGACGCGTGTAGTCCTGGAATTATAGATATGATTGCATGCGCTTGTCGCAGTAGATATATGTCGGGGTGGGATTGTATGTACTTTATGTATGTAGTAGTTACGTACGGAGTACATGTCATGTTGTACTACCACGCACAACACACCAGACATCGCACCATACAGGCAGGGCTAGCCCCGCTGAGAGTCTTCGTTGCAAACTCCTGCCAAGAACGACAAAAGGCAAGGAACAGCCAGGAACAAGGAAAACAAGCTATGTTGGATCAGATTTGCGCCCACAGCCCCGCATGTCGGTGGGGCATGCGCGACGTGTGACGGCAATCTTGGACACGCTTGGTACTCTCAAGCACCTGCAAGTGTGCTTTCAGTGTACGCGATATGTATGGCAAGACGACAATGCCGTATAATCCAGCATTATAGTACTCTTCTTTACAGGCGGGTTGTCCTTTGGCGACGGGCTCCATGTGTCTTGGGGCAATAAGCGACGTGCGCGCAAGACATTCAAGACAGTGGGCTGTGTGTGTCGATCTGTCGCGGGACGGCCAAGGGGAAGGGGACAAGGACAAGCCCAGTCGGTCGCTAATGGTGACCAGTCGACTCTATTAAATACATACATACAAATGTGTGGCTTCTTTGTCACAGATGGTTGCCGGTGGGAGCATTTTTCGCGTCTCTAGTGTGGCACCTCCAATTTCCCGCTTGATGCATCAGCAACTGACTGAGCATATCAAGAGGGAATCCGGTACTCCAAAAATACTGCTTGCGGCGCGTCGTTAATCGGAGAAGAAAAGTACTATCCGAAACGGGGGAACCTTAGTAATATGAGAGTTGAGCGCCAAGAGACTTGTTATTTGCAGACTGCCTTTTTGCATGCGAGGGAGGAATGCCAAGGTTAGTACTCAACAACAGTACTATTGATTTACACTCCCTGTAGCAAGTATTTCGTACCAAGGTAAGTTGCAAGGAGGTCACTGAAGACTCCTCTACGGAGTACTCCATCAACTGCTCTGCCCACCATACAACGTACGACGATGAAAATACTCCTGGTCCACGGAGTACTCCGTGCAGGCGATTGTACGCACAGGCAATGGGTGCAAGCATGGATCAGTTGATACACATCCATGACCCATTCTGTTCATCAATTGCTTGTGTGTCCAATATTGTGTATTAGAGTACAGTTTTGTCGTTCCTACCCAGAGTAGTTTGATATGTTAGCTGCCAAATATCGGCAAATAAAGAGATTCGTCGCGGCCTTGTGTGCACAATTTCGTGAATAAACCGGGCCGAGCGCGTCATTTTACTGTTTTCTGCAAGGGCAAGCTGCCTGGGCTTGACAGCTCTGGGAACCTTTGGGGTGAGGTGGCCAGTGAAACTGTGAAGCCGATTTTCATGTATGCCCGGCGTACGTCACCATGTTTGTTCATTGCTGATGTTGGCTGACGAGGGGAGATAGCCTCGACTGCATTCATTTGGTGTGGTCCTGGAGCGCGGGAAAGGCCCGGGCTGGCGTTGGATGAACGTGGAGGACGCCCGCACGCGTACATACATTCGTACACCGCTTGTCACCGGTTTGTACTTTGCTCAAAAGTTCTACTCCGTAGCGCGACGATGAGTACTTGGGTTCTCTGTTGCTGTTGCACCAAGTTATCGTGACCGGGTCTCCATGTTTGTGCCATGCCTCGTGCCACGCCAGATCGGACCAGCCAAGCCGCACACACAGTTTCCGGTTGCAAATGCACAACATCAGGGTGTGCAACAACGTGGAAGTAGCAACCCAAAGCTGCTTTTTTTCAAAATCATCTGCGGACAATTAGACTTTAAGACTACGGAAGAAATGTTACCGAAGTTGCTGACCTTGGCCCGTCGCGGGCATTTCGTCTGCCCCAGGTTTGACGAGCAGCGTTACCCCCCCCCCCCCCCCCCCCCCCCCCCCCCC